CCAGTGCTTGGGATCCCTTGTTTAGATACTAGATGACTGCACCCAACTTATAACATCACAGAGACAGGCCTGCCCAGAGTGAGAGATTTGTTTAATTGGGAAACATCTGCACCATCAGCCCCTGGCTACAGCTGGTAAGGGAAAAAGTTAGGAGAGTTTGGAGTTATACCTAGCAAAGTTAGGAGTAAACGTGAGGAAAGTATCACTGGCTACATCATTTCCTACTCAGACAGGGTCTTGAACAAGAGGAGCATGGATTTAAGAGACAGCCACTTCTGAAATCTGGAGATTACAAGCTCACCATCTTTATAGTGGGGACCACCTCCAACATTCACACAGGCAGCACATAAGTTATCAGCTTGTTGCAAGTTCCTCATAGGCAAGGTATTCCCAAAGACACCAGAAACAGGGTGGCTCTCTGCATTCCTTAGTCCCTGTGATGTTTGGGGGGAAGGAGGAAGACCTTATGAGTGAGCTGGGCCTGGGAAGAAGGAGAAGTGGGAGGAAGGTGGTTTTATTTTTGTTTTTATTTCTCAATATCCTCCTCTCCTATTAACTGGCAATAAAATAAATTTTTGAAATTTGCCCATGACGATAATTCCTGAGTGATCTCCCTGACTTTACCTCAACCCACAGACTTCTTCACAGTATTTTCTTCCCTGTTCTGCTGAGAAGGGGGTCTGAGAGTGCAACTTTGTGTGGCACTCGGCCAGACAAGGTCAACCCACCACACTGACATATAAAGAAGGACTGACATCACTGTCCTCTTCATGGTGCAGTTCTGCAAGGTGACACACAGGACTGTGACTTCAGAGAGGCAGCAGAGGTGTGGAGGGCAAGGCTGTGAGGTCATGTTTAACCAGCCGATGTCCAAAATAAAACCTCTGAGCCCATTTACAGAAGCCGTGTGTCACCTGAAATTACATCTACCTCTAGACGACAAACAAATTGCTGTAAAACTGAAAGGCCATGGGTGGCTAGAGCGTGAATGGCAAGGCTATATTCTCCCCAAAACTGACAAGGTATATTGAGGTTTTAAAAGAGACCTGCCAAATCACTGAAATTTCTCTATCCATCATTCTTGAGAGCCAGAGAGATCTAGATCTACCTTGTAGAACCCAGAGCTAAAGAGCTACATTTTGGCCATTGGGAGCATAAGACAGAGAGTGCTGGGAGTAGAGGGGCTATGGGATGGTCAGAGACAGGGATGTCCAGCTCTGCACAATGCTTCTCCTCTGCAAGTTGCAGAGCATGTTTTCCTTCACTGGTCATCCACACTGGCCAGGCATGTATGTAGATACCATCTTCTTCATTTGGGGTCAGCAGTACCACAGGGTGCTCAGATTTCCCTAATTTTTGCAGAGAAGGGGCCATGCTTTTCTATTGGATGAAGTTGTGAAGAAGCGTCATCTCCCACTGTTTGCAGGCTGGTTTCTACAGCATGGACAAGAGCAGCACAGCACCGGTTTTCTAGGAATGTTGCCTCTTCACAGGTCACTGGGACTGAAGTCTGCTGGAATTCTGGACTCCAGATTCAGCAGCTTCCTATCTGAGTCTGCTATTGAGGGGCTAATTAATGCTCTCTGGGGGTACACTCAAGATGGAAGGGGAAAGTGAGACACAAGCAGCCAGACAGGCCAACATTTCAGACATCTGAGCCAGTTGGGCTCCGTGGGCAGAGCTTTCTGCCTGCCACTTTTCCCAGCGAGTCTGGCCAGCTCTGCAGTGTCACGCCAGGAGAACCTGAGACAGCAAAGCTCTGATGTCCGTGCAGTTCCCTTGTTGCAATGCATTGATCAGAGCTCTCTTAAAGAAAGTGGCCTGGATATCTGAGACACCTATTGATTGCTCCACTGGCTCTCTTCCTGCCCTGATCTTCATTCACTCGGCATTGCCTGAATAGCTTGCACTTTTGTGTTAGGGGCAGTCTCCCCAGATCTTGAAGGGCTACATTCAAAGTGGCAGTCCCTACAGGGAGGAGAGAAAATGTCTGGTGACCCCTCATATGTATTCCCAGGGAGTGGGCCTGTGTCTCTTTGGCAGCATCAACTGAGCATTTAAAGTGTAAGGCAGAAGCTTGAAGTCATGTTTTCCTGATTCTGCTATCTCTGAATAGTGGTGCCTTCTGCCTGAAGAACAGGCTTATGCCATATGCCCAGTGGGCAAGAGACTGTATTCCTCTTCAGAGGAAGGACAGTTTCTTTACCCAGAAATGTCCCCACTAAGTTACTAACCCAGTGCAAAGGACAAGAAGAAGAAACCTGTCAAGAGAAGACGTAGTTTCTAGATCTCGCCTTTAATCACAAGACTGTTCTTCTCCAAACCCCTGGTAATCAAGGAGAAGAAAGACCCTGGCTTAGCAACCTTATGCCACAGTTTAAGCCAAGGAAAAGAGAAGTACAACACAGCAAAGCAGAAAAGGAAACTACTGAAAGGGGGAAAAAATGATCCTAGCTCAAGTATCGAGACACATCTTGTCCTGACAAGTGCTGGGGGACTCCAGAATATGCTCTCTGGGAAACCAAGACTTCAGGGATTTAAAAAACAAAACTAAACTACAAGAACTGTAGCTGGGTTCATTCCTGCCCTGGCAAAGAAAAGGGATGGATGAGCTAATAGGATGACAGATCAGAGATGGAAAAGACCAACAAACCTTTTCTAATCCAAAATCCCTTGTCAATTCTGCATTTTTGAGGTAGTCAAACAATTATGGATTTGTTCTTTCCAGAAATTCCTGGGTCTGTGAAGACCAAAGACTGTAAATCCATTCCCCCCCCCTTTTTGGATTTTGCTTTTAAAGATGTGTACTGATTGAATTAGTACTTTGTGCTTCCACCAGACTTCACATAAAGTTAACTGATCAGTCTTCACAATCCTTTTGCAAAGCAAAGCAGTATGACCCTTATTTCCCATCTTGGGAAACTGAGCAATAAAAAAAGCACAAAGCAAAAAAGATGCCTGCCCCACATTCCTTCCCCACTCTGTGTTAGGACACGGGAGTACTATTTACAGATTGCTAGTGGAGTCTCCTCTGCTGCTCTTGATATTGTCATGTGTTCCTGCATCCCATTGCTATCAATAAATCTTTATACTGTATATTCCACAGCTCTAAATATTATGGACATGTATTAGGGATACACTAATATCAATAGCAAACCATCCTTCCCCAGTGGCTTTAATGATGCCAAATCAATCCCTATATGAATAACTAAATATACCTCAGCACAAAAGCACTTGTAGAGTCAAATTTCAGGTTGCCATGTATAGTATCCCATGAGGTTCAGGAGTTCAGGCACAGCATGGTGTGAGTGAACCTACATTGCTTTCCAGCCTAATTCTGGTCTGGAAGGAGTAAACTGTTTTCACATAACTTGGAGGCTAAGCCACAGGACACTTCACAAGAACGTGCTCTGGCCTGTGCCAAACTCCCAAAACTGGAAGCAGAGGATGCCCTGGCCACACAGTCAAACATGCCAGTGCAGGCTTCTGTGGCTCTGCTCCCCCAGCTGCCAGGTCTGAGATGAGAAGCTCAAATGCTTGGATGCAGGGCAGCACAGACACAGGCAGCCAGCAAGCCTGGGCCCATGCTGCTGCTTTGCAGTGTGACTGGAGCCACTTAAAAGCTCAGGCTTTTAAGGTTGGTTTATGGGATTAGTATGAGCAGGCTAGAGCACATTACCAAACTGCGTTCCCACTAATGCCAGTGTCACTAGTGTGGACTGGCATGTGGGTAAGGGGATCTATCCCCTTCATGAACTACCACATGTAGAGAAACAGGTTTCCAGTGGTCCCTATCTAGGTCCAAAAATAGGTGCCTCTCTCCCAGCAGTGGATCAAGATCCTCTGAGCCTACAATCTCTACACCTCAGGGAGAGCCAGACTACACAAGCCTGCACCTCTTCTGCTTGGTAACTGGGGTGCTCTAGCAGGAAGATATTTGACCACAGAAACTACACATCCGTCAAAGAACAGAACAGGGTTTAACATCTAATCTACATTCTTAACAACACTGGCTGCCATCAACTTGCCTCTCAAGAAACGGGAGTGCCCTAGTGCAAAGCAATACACGTTCAAGTGACACTACAGTTTATCACCAGCTGCTATGAAGATACGACCTGGAAGCAAGCTGCATGCTGGCATCTTGGCTCCAGCATACAGGACTTGCGCAGATCACAGCCAGCTGCTGTTCCTTGTGGTTAAACTGAGGGGACTATGCTCTGCCAGGTACAGCAATGCAGAGAGTTACATGCAATGCTCCTCCTTCCTTCCCCTTCCTCTCCCCTTGCTGCCTCTCTCAGAGGGACTCAAGGGAAACAAAGCTTTAAAGTCAATCCATAAGAATGAATTCCCTGTGGTTCACCTTGAATGGACAAGGATTGGGGAGGGCAGTGGGGGGAGGAAAAGCAGCATGAGAAAGAAGCTGAACACTGCTTGGAGAGCGGAGAGCATTGAACAGATCAACAGGCTAAGCACAGCGCAGGCTGGGTGTGCAGGGCAGGGGACCCATAGCTCTCAGACAAACCTGTGCTCATCTTCGAATAGTCTCCTAAGTGGGAATATGGGCAGAATTTTGTTGCACACTGTGATATAGCTCTGCATTAACTCCATCCTTACTTTACAAAGCCCAGCGAAGCCAGTCATGATCACACAAAGGGCAAAATGACCTCAACACTGCAAAATGAAGTGGGGAGAAAGGAGTGAAACCCCTTCCAGCCTGGGGTTCCTTTGGGAAAGTCTGGCACCACCAGTTTCCAGTTATTTTTCAAATTTGCATGTATTAGAAGTAATATCCTATCATGAGGGTGATGACTAGAATCCTTCTTCTCCCTGGACTACCCTCGTGGTCCCTGCACATCCTGACTATGTTACAAAGCCCCTAAAAACACACCTTTGGAAAGCCAGAGAGGGCAAGCATGCAGTTAGCCTAAGAGATCCTGCAAGGCCTGGAGTCTCAGGTGCTACTGGGACAGAGAACAATTCTCAGTCTGACTCTGTCTTACCTTCTTTTAGCATCCCCACTTTGAGGCATTTCATGAAGCGACAGGCCTGACAGGACTTGCGCCTCCGTTTCGTGATCTCACATTCGTTTGTGGCCGGGCAGCTGTATTCAATATTCCCTGCAATCAAACACAGAGATGGTCACCCAAGAACTATGTTATCCCCAGTGATCCAGGCACAAGTTGCAGTGGCCCATATATTCCCACCACCATCAATCTGTATACACTGTATGTTTGCTCACTTATTTGCACACACATCCTCTGAGACCACAGCTGGCAGATGATGGCTCTTAGAGAGCCCAGCACTAAGTAGAACACATTTGAGGAAAAAACAATACTGCTCTAAGTATTGGGAGAAACCTGCCCATCCAAGGGGCTGACTGCAATGCTGGGCTTCCAGATGCAATGTCCCCTCCAGGCACATCATCATCCCTTGTGCTGCAATCCTTTATAACCTGGCCTGTTCCCTGAAGTCCAGGGCTTAGAGTGGGAACAGTTCCAGTATTAGCAGCAGCAATTCCTTTGTGGCCAGTCTTGCTCCATGTCTGTAGGATGGATGTTACCTGCCCTTTCTTGCCTTGCCTGGGGGAGCAGGGAACTCAGGGATGACATTCTGTCCTTTGCTTCCTCCTGCCTGCTGGCATACTACAGGTAGCAGGGAAGCAGTAGGTCTGGATTGAGAAGATGAATAACATGCCCTGTAAAATGCACAGTTTCTCTAAGCAAATCTCTCCAGTTTTACTTTATTAGTCCTTGTGCATTTGTGTCTCATCCCTCTGCAAAGAGCATCAGCTTTTCTTTCCTCATTCCTTTCCACTTATGATCACTTCAAAACATTGCCTCTGAGACAAAACAGGGGAAGCAGCATCACAGATTTATTTCTGGTCACATAATATTTTATCATAAGCCAAGAAAGTAACTGAAATACAGACACAAGGGTCTGACATGAGGATGTAAGTGTTGGATCACAGTGTGAGGTAGCACTATAAGACAACAAACAGAAATGACTGTTTACATCCTGCCATTCATTTTGGAGGTGATGTTTCTGAAGAGGGCTATTCAATGTTTTCTGTGGAGCAGGACTGGAAATCTAAGCTTGCCAGTGATGCATTGACAATGACAATACATTTAAGGCAGTCTAACTACTGGGTAAATCAGGCAGCTCAGAAAAGGATTTCTAAGCTCTACAGTCAGTTCAGAAGAATGAAAAAGTTGGTTTGGAGGTTTAGAGCAAGAAATTGAGATTCAAGAGTTCAATCAGAGCTGCAGGGAGGAATGCAGGTAAGAGCTAAGAGAAAACACAGTATGGAATTGCAAATGTTCCATTCCTGGCAGTGTTCAAGGCCAGGTTGGATGGAGTCTTGGTTGACATGGTTTATTGTGAGGTGTCCCTGCCCATGGCAGGGTGGTTGAAACTAGATGATCTTAGGGTCCTTTCCAACCCTAACTATTCTGTGATTCTATGACTTTGTATATCATCAGATTAGAAGTAGAGCTTACAGTTTAGTAGCACTGGGACAGGATGTGCTTTTTGTTCCTACTTCTGGAATGGATTTCTATGTTCTTGTGCAACACCCTTCCATCCTCTAAATAAAGACCAACAATCTGATACATACCAACCTCTGGGGCTAACTGAGCAGTTGGAAAGCCCATTGGGAATCTGAGTCAAAAGACAGAGCACAGATTCAAAAGGAAGAAAGTACTCACTATGCTTGGCCCATGCTGTGTGAAATCCCAGAAGCACACAACCCCAAATCCCAAGGTTATCCACCTGCTAGTTATTAACTGTCTACCCTTGTTTTGTCACAAGACTTGCAACTTGCCCCTAAAGCTTCAGCCCAGCCACCCCACTCTTCACCATTAATTATCTCCTTCCAAAATGCAGTTTGCCTGCAGGAGCAGAGTGTGCTGCACAAGTTGCTTCCATTTAAACTGTACTTCGTCATTGGGCAGCACCAGAATTTCAATAACTAGCAATGTATCAACATTCCCAGAGAGCTGGAAATTGAGATTCAGGCTTAATCTCAAGGTAATAAACAAACTCCTGCTTTAGACACACAGCTCCAGCACATTACAAGACCGATGAGTACAGAGGCCCTTACCTCATGCTCAGACACTTGATGTGCCCCGCACAGGAAGGAACAGAGCAGGAACAAACCTAGGAGAACACTCCAACACCATCTCAATTTGGAAGATACTACCTTGGTTTCAATGCCCACGTTTCTCACCAAAGCCAGGACCAGACTTCTGGAAAGATGTAAAACTTCATGTTTTGTGGTCTTATGGCCAAAAATTTGCCCCCTAACAGACACTACACCAAGGGCACTGAGCCCTTATAGCAGCAGAAGGCAGTGACAGCCCTCATCTGGCAGCTCAAGCTCTATCTACCCTGCGTCAAGCAGATCTCCCACTTTCCCCAAGCCTCCAGTCCATGGACCCCTTGACAAGCAAAGTACTGGAAATGGTTTACAAAACCTACATCACAACTAAATTTGCTCGTGTCAGTGCAGGTGTAGGTACCGGTTACCATATACATACTGTTTGTACAGCTTAAAAAAGCAGTTCTCAAAGGTACTTCTGTACTGGGATCATGAGAAAGGAGCAGAGCCAGAGGAGAGTGCGCAGTGGGCAAAATTCCCTTCCTGGGTGGCAAAGCAGTGGCCACCACATTGTGCAGCATCCATGTGGTTTGCTGGTAAGGACAGCTGAAAAAACACACCCACTCACCATGCTTATTGCCTTCATACTGAACATAGGCTCATATGCCCCTTCCACACACTGTGCCCAGTCTAAAGGAAGAAAGCACCAGTAGCTGTGTCTTACAGCCCTCTTTACAGGTGCAAATGCTAGAGGTGAGACCTACTGTACCCTCTTCATACAAAACAATGCTTCCAAAGTAAATGAGGTTTTATATTAGGCCCCATAACATGCTCTGCATTTCATGGATTGAGAGCTACAGCTGGGGGCAGTATCTGCCATTACTGCAGGGAACAGGGACATCACCAGAGAAGGCACAATCAGCATTACCCAAGCAGAACTCATCCAAGAAAAACTATCATCTCCAAACTTTAACAAAGTTCTCTGACTTTTTTGTGTGTGTGTTTGTCTCAATTTCTTTTATGGGTCCTGGGGCTGGCTGCCAGCGCAGTGAGCTGCTCACAGCTCCCTGTAATTTCTGTAAGTGCCCTGTGATAAACTGATGAGATTAACTCATCGAAATTCCAGCAGCCTCCCAGTGGCTGGCGGTCACACCACCAGCCCAGCTGCCAGTGCAGGGTGCTCCAGGAGAGCTTCCTCTTCACTGCAGCAGCTTGGGCTGCTGCAAGACCCTGCAGAAAGGCATCAGCACACAAGGATGCACATGGACAAGTCTGTATGCAAGTATAAAATTCAAGTCAAGTCTGTGTGTCATGAACTGTAGATTACATGACCCAGCAGGGCAGAAAATGGGATAATCTAATAGACAAGGCCTCAGTTTGAAGTGTTGCTTATTAGAAGAGATTTCCTCGACTTAGTCAATATTTACATTTGATGTGAAAATCTGCTAGGACCTCACTGATTCCACAGAATAAGATTTAGCAAAAAAGATGGCTTCAATAAATCAAGTGGTAGGTGACCAAATGAGGGTTTGGATTTGTTCCAAGCCTTCATATGTAGCCTCGCAGGGCAAATCACTTCCTCTCTGTGCCCTAGTTTGCTCATCTGCAAAACAAAACAAGCACCAAACCTACCTTCTGGGGAGATTGTAAGTTGATTCATTAGTGTTTAACTGTACTTTAAACCCTTTAGATGAAAGATGCTAAGAAACAGACAAGGACTATTAAGGTGACAGATCATATTTTTACCCTATTTTCTGTAAAAGTAGACCTTTGACCATTAAACAATTTGGAACTTTTTTTCCAGTGCACACATAGTAAGAGCACCTGAAAGCTGCATCCCAGAGCCTGGTCATTGAGAGACCCCATAGCCACTATACCTCTCTGGAAAGAAGACGCCTCCCTGAGCTTGGGGAGGCATTAAAGTCCCACCCAGTTCCTGCTTAAGTTATGGACAGGACTTCTCTGAGAAGTTGAGCTCAGAATTAATAAAGCACTGAGAGTACAAGCTGCTCCCTGCTTATTGATCCTGCCTTTCTAGAAGGAAACACAGGGAAGATTATAAACAAGTGGCCAATCAAGTTTTTAAAGCTAAAGCATTTTCAGCTTCTGTTTTCTGAAGAAAACTCATCGCTCCTCTTTTCCTGGTTTATTCTTCATTGTTTTGCACCATTCTTTCTCTCTACTCTTCTTTTCTTGCTTACTCTCTCCTGCTTTGCCCTGCTGCACACAGAATTCTCAGCCCTTCCTTTGGGTGACTCAAATAGATGGCCAGATGACTGCATGCAGCTTTTCCTGAATTTCAGGGGAAAACCCAGACTCAGATATATCTGCTATTAAGTTCCAAATTCCATTCATTCAAGTCATATCTTTCACCCCAGTGATATGATACAGCATGCTGTGGTTGCAACAAGTGACATGGTGCCATTCTCTGCTGGCCCCCTCAAGCCAAAGGGTTGAGAGCAGGAGCTCCCAGGGAAATCCATCTCATAGGCACCTCAGCTCATGCATGTGTTTCCTTTTATCCCAATTTTTGTAACAATTACTACACTGCCCTCACAGCTTTGGGGGGTTTTGTTTGGAATTTGATTGTCTGGTTTGTTTTACAATAATTGCTTGCAATGTTCCATAGTCTTAGGAAGATCCCACCAGGCAATCAGTGTAATGCCTCCATGGAACAGCTCTTCTGCTTGACTTGGACAGCCTACAGGAGAAAGCAACCTTATTTTTAACCAGCCACTAGCTGTGAGGACACTGTCATTTCAGTACCCACAAGCTTTTGTCCTGAATCCTTTTTATCGCTGTTTCTGAAGCTAAACAGATCATTTGGGTGTCTCAGTGAAAAGGGACCTGAAAACTGTAAAAAGGCCCTTGGTGAGTGCAGTGCCAGATCAGCAGTTCCTCTGCCCTCAGCAACACCAGTCTGACCTCCTGTACCAGAATAGGGAACACTGATAATATGCATGGAGTGGATTCTCTATTACCTTCCACTTAAACTTCCACTTTAACTGAGGCATCAGAGCC